ATGTGGGTCTGATGCAGGAGGGTCTGAGACGGAAGTGAAACCAGGAAGTCTCATGGAAGGAATCACAGGGACAGGACTCGGACCATGTGGGTCTGATGCAGGAGGGTCTGAGACGGAAGTGAAACCAGGAAGTCTCATGGAAGGAATCACAGGGACAGGACTCGGACCATGTGGGTCTGATGCAGGAGGGTCTGAGACGGAAGTGAAACCAGGAAGTCTCATGGAAGGAATCACAGGGACAGGACTCGGACCATGTGGGTCTGATGCAGGAGGCTGAGACGGAAGTGAAACCAGGAAGTCTCATGGAAGGAATCACAGGGATAGGACTCGGACCATGTGGGTCTGATGCAGGAGGGTCTGAGACGGAAGTGAAACCAGGAAGTCTCATGGAAGGAATCACAGGGACAGGACTCGGACCATGTGGGTCTGATGCAGGAGGGTCTGAGACGGAAGTGAAACCAGGAAGTCTCATGGAAGGAATCACAGGGACAGGACTCGGACCATGTGGGTCTGATGCAGGAGGGTCTGAGACGGAAGTGAAACCAGGAAGTCTCATGGAAGGAATCACAGGGACAGGACTCGGACCATGTGGGTCTGATGCAGGAGGGTCTGAGACGGAAGTGAAACCAGGAAGTCTCATGGAAGGAATCACAGGGACAGGACTCGGACCATGTGGGTCTGATGCAGGAGGGTCTGAGACGGAAGTGAAACCAGGAAGTCTCATGGAAGGAATCACAGGGATAGGACTCGGACCATGTGGGTCTGATGCAGGAGGGTCTGAGACGGAAGTGAAACCAGGAAGTCTCATGGAAGGAATCACAGGGACAGGACTCGGACCATGTGGGTCTGATGCAGGAGGGTCTGAGACGGAAGTGAAACCAGGAAGTCTCATGGAAGGAATCACAGGGATAGGACTCGGACCATGTGGGTCTGATGCAGGAGGGTCTGAGACGGAAGTGAAACCAGGAAGTCTCATGGAAGGAATCACAGGGATAGGACTCGGACCATGTGGGTCTGATGCAGGAGGGTCTGAGACGGAAGTGAAACCAGGAAGTCTCATGGAAGGAATCACAGGGATAGGACTCGGACCATGTGGGTCTGATGCAGGAGGGTCTGAGACGGAAGTGAAACCAGGAAGTCTCATGGAAGGAATCACAGGGACAGGACTCGGACCATGTGGGTCTGATGCAGGAGGGTCTGAGACGGAAGTGAAACCAGGAAGTCTCATGGAAGGAATCACAGGGATAGGACTCGGACCATGTGGGTCTGATGCAGGAGGGTCTGAGACGGAAGTGAAACCAGGAAGTCTCATGGAAGGAATCACAGGGACAGGACTCGGACCATGTGGGTCTGATGCAGGAGGGTCTGAGACGGAAGTGAAACCAGGAAGTCTCATGGAAGGAATCACAGGGATAGGACTCGGACCATGTGGGTCTGATGCAGGAGGGTCTGAGACGGAAGTGAAACCAGGAAGTCTCATGGAAGGAATCACAGGGACAGGACTCGGACCATGTGGGTCTGATGCAGGAGGGTCTGAGACGGAAGTGAAACCAGGAAGTCTCATGGAAGGAATCACAGGGACAGGACTCGGACCATGTGGGTCTGATGCAGGAGGGTCTGAGACGGAAGTGAAACCAGGAAGTCTCATGGAAGGAATCACAGGGATAGGACTCGGACCATGTAGGTCTGATGCAGGAGGGTCTGAGACGGATGTGAAACCAGGAAGTCTCATGGAAGGAATCACAGGGATAGGACTCGGACCATGTAGGTCTGATGCAGGAGGGTCTGAGACGGAAGTGAAACCAGGAAGTCTCATGGAAGGAATCACAGGGATAGGACTCGGACCATGTGGGTCTGATGCAGGAGGGTCTGAGACGGAAGTGAAACCAGGAAGTCTCATGGAAGGAATCACAGGGACAGGACTCGGACCATGTGGGTCTGATGCAGGAGGGTCTGAGACGGAAGTGAAACCAGGAAGTCTCATGGAAGGAATCACAGGGACAGAACTCGGACCATGTGGGTCTGATGCAGGAGGGTCTGAGACGGAAGTGAAACCAGGAAGTCTCATGGAAGGAATCACAGGGACAGGACTCGGACCATGTGGGTCTGATGCAGGAGGGTCTGAGACGGAAGTGAAACCAGGAAGTCTCATGGAAGGAATCACAGGGATAGGACTCGGACCATGTGGGTCTGATGCAGGAGGGTCTGAGACGGAAGTGAAACCAGGAAGTCTCATGGAAGGAATCACAGGGACAGGACTCGGACCATGTGGGTCTGATGCAGGAGGGTCTGAGACGGAAGTGAAACCAGGAAGTCTCATGGAAGGAATCACAGGGATAGGACTCGGACCATGTGGGTCTGATGCAGGAGGGTCTGAGACGGAAGTGAAACCAGGAAGTCTCATGGAAGGAATCACAGGGATAGGACTCGGACCATGTGGGTCTGATGCAGGAGGGTCTGAGACGGGGTCATGCCCACGGACCAACGGCTCTGGACTACACAGACACAACATTACTTTAAAATATTAATCTGCTTCTTTTATCATCCCCCGGGACCAAGGTACAGGTGGTATAAGACATAGGTACAGGTGGTATAAGACATAGGTACAGGTGGTATAAGACATAGGTACAGGTGGTATAAGACATAGGTACAGGTGGTATGAGACATAGGTACAGGTGGTATGAGACATAGGTACAGGTGGTATGAGACATAGGTACAGGTGGTATAAGACATAGGTACAGGTGTATGGAGCTATTATTGTTTCAATAATATTTGTGTGTGCGTAAAAAGATTTGTGCGTGCGTAACCAGATTTGTGCGTGCGTAACCAGATTTGTGTGTGTGTAACCAGATTTGTGCGTGCGTAACCAGATTTGTGTGTGTGTAAAAGAAATATTTGTGCGTGTGTAAATAGATTTGAATGTACGTATCAAGATTTGTGTGTGCGTAAAAAGGTTTGTGTGTGCGTAGAAAGATTTGTGTGTGTGTAAAGAAAAAAAAAAGTAAGTTTTACACACAAGTTTTTTTTTTACACACGAATCTTTTGACGCAGTCCTGCCTTCGCAGATTCGCAAGTGTAACTTGGACTGTGTGCGTGCGTAAACAGATTTGTGTGTGTGTAATTTGACATTTGTATCTGTAGCAGAACAATCTGTGTGTAAATAACCACGTTGTACAAAGAGAAGAACGGGAAAAAGCCTAAGTGCTACGCACAGGCTCTGTTTTACACACGAATCTCTTTTTGACACACCTCTGCCGCCAAGCGTGTGTCAAAAAGATTTGTAAGTGTAATGTGGTTGTTCTAGCAGTACACCAGCAGATGGTGCTGTTGTAGCTGGTTATTACCTACACGCAAGCAAACCAACAAGTGTAGATAGAGAAAACCGAAGGATTTAAGAAGAAGAAAAGTTCAGGATGACAAGGAACACTAAAATTCCCACAAAATCCGACCTTTATGAAAGCTGTAGGTTATCTGTCAGCTGTTTTAGTTTACTTTGAGTTCTATGGGGAAAATTTCTGTGTAGCCAACGTGAATTTAGTCTGCAGTACGTGAGAATTCTTCAGCTCCAAGCTAGTAACACCCTATCCAGTTATTATAATAGATCCATGTATCATACAGTGGTGTGAATGACAGGATTTTGAAAATAGGAAAAAAATATCATAAACAGCTGCGGTAGTGTGTCTTGTCAAGGCAGTAGGTTTTGGTTTGTTTGCGTGTAGGTAATAACCAGCTACAACAGCACCATCTGCTGGTGTACTGCTAGAACAACCACATTACACTTACAAATCTTTTTGACACACGCTTGGCGGCAGAGGTGTGTCAAAAAGAGATTCGTGTGTAAAACAGAGCCTGTGCGTAGCACTTAGGCTTTTTCCCGTTCTTCTCTTTGTACAACGCGGTTATTTACACACAGATTGTTCTGCTACAGATACAAATGTCAAATTACACACACACAAATCTGTTTACGCACGCACACAGTCCAAGTTACACTTGCGAATCTGCGAAGGCAGGACTGCGTCAAAAGATTCGTGTGTAAAAAAAAAACTTGTGTGTAAAACTTACTTTTTTTTTTCTTCACACACACACAAATCTTTCTACGCACACACAAATCTTTTTACGCACACACAAATCTTGATACGTACATACAAATCTATTTACGCACGCACAAATATTTCTTTTACACACACACAAATCTGGTTACGCACGTACAAATCTGGTTACGCACACACAAATCTGGGTACGCACACACAAATCTGGTTACGCACGCACAAATCTGGTTACGCACACACAAATCTGGTTACGCACACACAAATCTGGGTACGCACACACAAATCTTTTTACGCACACACAAATATTATTGAAACAATAATAGCTCCATACAGGTGGTATAAGACATAGGTACAGGTGGTATAAGACATAGGTACAGGTGGTATGAGACATAGGTACAGGTGGTATAAGACATAGGTACAGGTGGTATAAGACATAGGTACAGGTGGTATAAGACATAGGTACAGGTGGTATAAGACATAGGTACAGGTGGTATAAGACATAGGTACAGGTGGTATAAGACATAGGTACAGGTGGTCCCTATAGGCCCAGACTCTCTCCTTTTGAGGCTGAAAAGTGTTATTTGTTGGATTCTTCTGCTTTTAAACAGTTGCTTAATTGCGTAGGTTTGCAGCGCTGTGATTGGCTGAGGATGAAAGGGGCCAGCTCTGATTGGCTGCAGCAGGGAGTCTACTGGACTGATATTCTCTGATCTGTTGAGGAAGCCACAACTTTGTAAAGTCCTGGAGACGACACAAAAATCTAAATCTAGAATAAAATAAAATAACATGACGCTGAAGCCGAGGCTCAGAGTGGACTGTGTCACGATCTCACTGCTGCTGCGCCGCATCAGCACTCAGACCATCACATTCATATCGTGCAACAACCCTCCTCCTCCCCACCAGGGTTTGGGCCCCAGGAGACCACCACCAGGGTCTAGGCCTTAGAGGATCTCATCTCTTCTGTATTTCCCGTTCAGTATCGGTCACGCTGCTCTGCCGGGTCACGCTGCTCTGCCGGGTCACGCTGCTCTGCCGGGTCACGCTGCTCTGCCGGGTCACGCTGCTCTGCCGGGTCACGCTGCTCTGCCGGGTCACGCTGCTCTGGCGGGTCACGCTGCTCTGCCGGGTCACGCTGCTCTGCCGGGTCACGCTGCTCTGCCGGGTCACGCTGCTCTGGCGGGTCACGCTGCTCTGCCGGGTCACGCTGCTCTGCCGGGTCACGCTGCTCTGCCGGGTCACGCTGCTCTGGCGGGTCAGGCTGCTCTGGCGGGTCACGCTGCTCTGGCGGGTCACGCTGCTCTGCCGGGTCACGCTGCTCTGCCGGGTCACGCTGCTCTGCCGGGTCACAAATCCACACAGGACGGTTTTAGCTGAAACCAGAATGAGACGTGACAGATTCAGGAGTTCTCCACATCTCACTCTATCAGAAGGACACACTATGTACCAGATAAGTGTAAGTACCTCCTGCTCCTCTGCACCTCCTGTTCCTCTTCACCTCCTTCTCCTCTGCTCCTCCTGCTCCTCCTGTTCCTCTGCACCTCCTCCATCAACGCTCCCCCCTCTCATTAATTGCTGTCAGAAATGTGCTGAATTAACGCATTAATGAGCACTGATGTGGAGGCTAACTTTGGCAGAGGGGGGTGTGTTGTGAGGCTGCCCCCCCTCTCTCCCCCCGCCCGGCCCCCCCCTCATGTGCCCCCCCCCGCCCCGCTTTCGTGTGCGTGGCCTGTTACAGATATGCATCCAGGACATTTGAGCCGATTGCATTTCATTAGTTTGATTTGAGCGGACAGCACTAAGCTGCTGAGGCCTGTGGCTGACAGATAATTACAGGAATGAGCCTCTGCGAGAAGAACTATGGGGGAGAGAGGGGGGAGAGAGGGGGAGGAGGGGGAGGTGAACGGGGAAAAGGCGAGAAGAGGACAGGCCGTGGTCGTGTCTGCCCTGTCTGCCCCAGGTCTCTGCCCTCAGACCATCGCTGCTCTAACGACGCTCCAGCTTCAGCAAAACAAACATTTGGGAAATAATTGTCCTGAGATCTGGTCTTCCCCTGGTCCTCCCCTGGTCCTCCTCTGGTCCTCCCCTGGTCCTCCTCTGGTCCTCCCCTGGTCCTCCCCTGGTCCTCGTCTGGTCCTTCTCTGGTCTTCCCCTGGTCCTCCTTTGGTCCGCCTCTGGTCCTCCTCTGGTCCTCCCCTGGTCCTCCCCTGGTTCTCCCCTGGTCTTCCCCTGGTCCTCCCCTGGTCCTCGTCTGGTCCTCGTCTGGTCCTCCCCTGGTCCTCCCCTGGTCCTCCTCTGGTCCTCCCCTGGTCCTCCCCTGGTCCTCCTCTGGTCCTCCCCTGGTCCTCATCTGGTCCTCTGGTCCTCCTCTGGTCCTCCCCTGGTCCTCCTCTGGTCCTCCCCTGGTCCTCCTCTGGTCCTCCTCTGGTCCTCCCCTGGTCCTCCTCTGGTCCTCCTCTGGTCCTCCCCTGGTCCTCATCTGGTCCTCTGGTCCTCCTCTGATCCTCTGGTCCTCCTCTGGTCCTCCTCCTCGGCCGCGGGCGGCACGGTGGCTGAGTGGATAGCACTCTCGCCTCTCAGCAAGAAGGTCCTGGGTTCGAATCCCGGCCGGACCAGGGCCTTTCTGAGTGGAGTTTGCATGTTCTCCCCGTGTCTGCGTAGGTTTCCTCCGGGTACTCCGGTTTCCCCTACCACTAAAAACATGCACAATAGGTCTGGCATGCGCCTCCTGTACTGGCGACCCCGCTCCCATCTCTGTGTGGAGTGAGTGGACCAATGCCCAAAAAATAATAACAATTGTAAACCGCTTTGTGACTCTGGTCTGTGAAAGGCGGTATATAAATAAAGATTACTTACTTACTTACTTACTCCTGTGAACCAGGTGTGACAGTGTTTTTCTGGGACAGATCTCGTGTCATTTCCTGGTCACACCTTGAGGTCAATTGTGCTGCAGATGGTACAGTTTTCTGATGGTGCCAGATGGTGCTGATGGTGCTCTCATGGTGCTGATGGTGCTCTCATGGTGCTGATGATGCTGATGGTGCTCTCATGGTGCTGATGGTGCTCTCATGGTGCTGATGATGCTCTCATGGTGCTGGTGCCAGGCCGTGCCGGGCCGTGCTGGTCTGGGTCAGTGTGAGTGACAGAGCAGGTTTGTTAGGCAGATTTGTCTGGCTGCAGATCCGCTGTCGCCGGGCGCTGCACTGGTGTCAGGCTGCGCCCACGCAGCGCCGCAGTCTGACAGGTGAGGCTGGTGTGTCCTGTCGGCTTAATTGTAGCCCGCAGTGGTGCATTGTGGGTACACAGGCCTCCGCCCTGATGACCAGGCCCACAAGCCTCTCCTGGACCTGTCTCCTCTGGGTGGGACACGGGAGTCTGAGCCAACGTCTGCATCTGTGTGTGTGTGTGTCTGTGTGTGTACTGTATTTGTGTATATATGTGTGTGTGTGTGTGTGTGAGTGTGTGTGTACTGTATATGTGTATGTGTGTACTGTATATGTGTATGTGTGTGTGAGTGTGAGTGTGTGTGAGTGTGTGTGTGTGTACTGTATATGTGTGTATGTGTGTGTGTACTGTATATGTGTATGTGTGTACTGTATATGTGTATGTGTGTGTGAGTGTGAGTGTGTGTGTGTGTACTGTATATGTGTGTATGTGTGTGTGTGTGTGTGTGTGCGTGTGTGTGTGAGTGTGTGTGTACTGTATATGTGTGTATGTGTCTGTGTGTGTACTGTATTTGTGTATATATGTGTGTGTGTGTGTGTGTGAGTGTGTGTGTACTGTATATGTGTGTATGTACAGGTGTGCGCGAGAGTGTGTATGTATATGTGTGTTTATGTATGTGTGTTTGAGAGTGTGTTTGTGTATATGTGTGGTATATATATGTGTGTGTGTCGTGTATGTGTTTGTGAGAGTATGTATATTGTGTGCGAGAGTGTGTGTGTGTGTATATATGTGTGTGTTTGAGAGTGTGTATGTGTGTTTATGTATGGCTCACTCCACACTAAACTGTACCGTCCAAAACGTCTGTCTCATGGTGCTTTCAGACGCCAACTCTGAAACGCACATTCTCTAGTTTTCAGACCAGAGGTCTTGGAACGCGCCGGGATCTGATGCTAACAGAGTTTAGCTAGCAGCTTCTTGTGTAAAGATCTTCTCTAATAATGCAGCTCTACAGCGTCTCTGTGTCTGAGACCTTCACAGACTTTATATAACAGCAGTATGTGTTCACGGAGGTGACTTTATATAACGGCAGTATGTGTTCACGGAGGTGACTTTATATAACGGCAGTATGTGTTCACGGAGGTGACTTTATATAACAGCAGTATGTGTTCACGGAGGTGACTTTATATAACGGCAGTATGTGTTCACGGAGGTGACTTTATATAACAGCAGTATGTGTTCACGGAGGTGACTTTATATAACAGCAGTATGTGTTCACGGAGGTGACTTTATATAACAGCAGTATGTGTTCACGGTGACTTTATATAACAGCAGTATGTGTTCACGGAGGTGACTTTATATAACAGCAGTATGTGTTCACGGAGGTGACTTTATATAACAGTAGTATGTGTTCACGGAGGTGACTTTATATAACAGCAGTATGTGTTCACGGTGACTTTATATAACAGCAGTATGTGTTCACGGAGGTGACTTTATATAACAGCAGTATGTGTTCACGGAGGTGACTTTATATAACAGCAGTATGTGTTCACGTGACTTTATATAACAGCAGTATGTGTTCACGGAGGTGACTTTATATAACAGTAGTATGTGTTCACGGAGGTGACTTTATATAACAGCAGTATGTGTTCACGGAGGTGACTTTATATAACGGCAGTATGTGTTCACGGAGGTGACTTTATATAACAGCAGTATGTGTTCACGGAGGTGACTTTATATAACAGCAGTATGTGTTCATGGAGGTGACTTTATATAACAGCAGTATGTGTTCACGGAGGTGACTTTATATAACAGCAGTATGTGTTCACGGAGGTGACTTTATATAACAGCAGTATGTGTTCACGGAGGTGACTTTATATAACAGCAGTATGTGTTCACGGAGGTGACTTTATATAACGGCAGTATGTGTTCACGGAGGTGACTTTATATAACAGCAGTATGTGTTCACGGAGGTGACTTTATATAACGGCAGTATGTGTTCACGGAGGTGACTTTATATAACAGCAGTATGTGTTCACGGAGGTGACTTTATATAACAGCAGTATGTGTTCACGGAGGTGACTTTATATAACAGCAGTATGTGTTCACGGTGACTTTATATAACAGCAGTATGTGTTCACGGAGGTGACTTTATATAACAGCAGTATGTGTTCACGGAGGTGACTTTATATAACAGTAGTATGTGTTCACGGAGGTGACTTTATATAACAGCAGTATGTGTTCACGGTGACTTTATATAACAGCAGTATGTGTTCACGGAGGTGACTTTATATAACAGCAGTATGTGTTCACGGAGGTGACTTTATATAACAGCAGTATGTGTTCACGGAGGTGACTTTATATAACAGTAGTATGTGTTCACGGAGGTGACTTTATATAACAGCAGTATGTGTTCACGGAGGTGACTTTATATAACGGCAGTATGTGTTCACGGAGGTGACTTTATATAACAGCAGTATGTGTTCACGGAGGTGACTTTATATAACAGCAGTATGTGTTCACGGAGGTGACTTTATATAACAGCAGTATGTGTTCACGGAGGTGACTTTATATAACGGCAGTATGTGTTCACGGAGGTGACTTTATATAACAGCAGTATGTGTTCACGGAGGTGACTTTATATAACAGCAGTATGTGTTCACGGAGGTGACTTTATATAACAGCAGTATGTGTTCACGGAGGTGACTTTATATAACAGCAGTATGTGTTCACGGAGGTGACTTTATATAACAGTAGTATGTGTTACGGAGGTGACTTTATATAACAGCAGTATGTGTTCACGGTGACTTTATATAACAGCAGTATGTGTTCACGGAGGTGACTTTATATAACAGCAGTATGTGTTCACGGTGACTTTATATAACAGCAGTATGTGTTCACGGAGGTGACTTTATATAACAGCAGTATGTGTTCACGGAGGTGACTTTATATAACAGAAGTATGTGTTCACGGAGGTGACTTTATATAACAGCAGTATGTGTTCACGGAGGTGACTTTATATAACAGCAGTATGTGTTCACGGAGGTGACTTTATATAACAGCAGTATGTGTTCACGGTGACTTTATATAACAGCAGTATGTGTTCACGGAGGTGACTTTATATAACAGTAGTATGTGTTCACGGAGGTGACTTTATATAACAGCAGTATGTGTTCACGGAGGTGACTTTATATAACAGAAGTATGTGTTCACGGAGGTGACTTTATATAACAGCAGTATGTGTTCACGGAGGTGACTTTATATAACAGCAGTATGTGTTCACGGAGGTGACTTTATATAACAGCAGTATGTGTTCACGGAGGTGACTTTATATAACAGCAGTATGTGTTCACGGTGACTTTATATAACAGCAGTATGTGTTCACGGA